TTGTATAAGTGATATCGAAAAAATAAAAACGATATTGCACAGACAAAATTCACCTTTTTATGTGGTGAAAATTTCGTTTCTTAGTTATAACTGTATCTTTCTCKGTTCTTTMCCRCGCRWAAMAGTTTTTGYAATGTTACGCACTTGTAAGACGGAGACAACACATGCGGGTGAAACGTCCTCTTAAGCGTCGAAAATAACACAAACAATATATAACCTGTGAAATTATCATCAAAACACCTCCATCGGCTCCATCCATATTTATTCAATCAACTATACATAAATAATCATTAACAATCCTGCAAAGCAATTAAAAGCCCTCATATTCCACCCATGGAATCTCATGCAAAACTATGTCAAACCCAAATTCGAATTGAATGGTAATTAGATACCATGGAGAAAAAAAATGTAAACTTTTATACATATCAAATCCACGGGGACAAATCTTCACCTCTCTACTGCTCTACTTCAATCGAATTTATCAAAGAAGAATTAGGCAACTGTGGTTTCTTGGCTCGGAACATGAATAATGTTCTTCATTATCAATCAAAAGCCCTCTTACCTCTATTCTTTGTTGACCTTGAACCAGCTATTAACAACAAAGACATGTTTGAATTAAAATTCCTCTGCTACACAAACATCAAAGTAGAATCTCCTAAAATAAAAAATAAAAAACAAATACCACAATGTATGAATTTCCAGGACTACGGTCATACGCGCCATCACTGCAGTAACATACCTCGTTGCGTTCGTTGTGGCGACCGACGCGACATGGCGACATGCCGAGATACCTCGGACTGCACCTGCAAAAAAAGCATAGACTTTCCAGTGAAACGTGTGCTCTGTTTTGGCGATCATCCAGCAAATTATAGAGATGGCGCCCATAATTTAAGAACATTCGAAATCATCGAAACCGCCATCCCTCTCAAGCAAATAAAAATCATCTCAACAATAACATCAGATACCAAGAAAAAAATAATAATGTACGAACTCGCACCAGTCGTAACATTACCTCAGAAAATCAAAAAACACCCCCACACCTAACCTATCTTACGCCAAAGCAACTCAAAATAAAAATACACCAAAAAACCAACCCCACTTGGATGTATTACGGAGGATCATTTTTTCTGAATGAAAATCGTGATAATTATCGACACGTATATCATCGAAATTAGACGAAACACCAGTTTTTGACAAAAAAAAAAAAAGTTCATTTATCAGACCGGTTCCATTACTTTTTACGTACCTACCTATAGAGCGTTTCGTATATTATCCTTGTAACGTTTTTAATCTGTATCGTCAATAATTATTATTTATTATATTGCGTCGTTGTCGTGGTTTTGTGCGTTAAGGTTGCCTACCGTCAGAGCCGTTAAAGGAGGAAGCAACGTCCTCATTTTGCCACAGTCCTCATTTTTGGAATATTTTTAAGGGGTCCCTTTAATGTCTTGATGTATAATAATTATT